ATGTCTTCTATTCCTATTAGGTTTCTCCCTCCCCACAGGTTTCAGGTTCGGGGGTTCCAGGAGAGGGGTTGTATTACTGATCTAATATGGGCCCCTTCCCTCTGGGCTGCTAACCATAAACACAACACACCTACATCTCCAATTACCCTTCTCTTTCATTTAACTTACTTGATAAGTCTCCCACCAACTCAGCAGCCTCTTATCCCTCTCTCCCTTTAGGCTACCACCTCAGCTTTGAGTAGACTTATGGCAGAGGCTAGGCTGCTGTCTGCTGATATCTCTGTCCTTCATACACCACTTCTGGGCTTGTAATGCCTGTTCTCAAACCATCTCCACATTCCCCAGGTGAACCCCACCATCAAGCAGGTATTGTAAGGATTCAGGCATTACCCTGTCACCTGGCAGAATGCACTCAGGCAGTACTCTGGTCAGCCTGGGGTTCCATGAGTACTAGTCTGCAGGCAGGTGTAAAGGGCCCCTTTAAAAGTCAGACCCCTGCCCACTTACACTGTTTTGCTTTCTCTTTTGCTCTCTCTCTCTCTCTCTCTCTCTCTCTCTCTCTCTCTCTCTCTCTCTCTCCCACCAGGTACCCCCTCTCTTCCCCTCTCTCCTCTTCTGTTCCCCATACCTCTATGTCTCTTCCCTTCTCCCTCACTCCCCTTTCTAAATAAACTCATTTAAGCTCTATCTGCCTGGTTATTCCCTCCCGCCTCGGTCACCCTCACCTGCTTTGGAACCTGCTATGCTCTCCCACGTGGTCCCTTACCTTGGGACCCCACTTACTTGGGACCCTCACTCGGGACCTCCCACTCCTTCTCCAGCTTTTATTTTTTTATTTTTTTTAGATTTATTTATTGGGTTGGAGAGATGGCACAGAGGTTAAGAGCACTGACTGCTCTTCCAGAGGTCCTGAGTTCAATTCCCAGCAACCACATGGTGGCAGACAACCAACTATAATGAGATTTGGTGCCTCTCTTCTGGTGTGCAGGAATACATGCAGGCAAAAGGCTATATATATAAAATAAATAAATAAATCTTTTTAAAAATATTTATTTATTTATTTACTATGTATACAGTGTCTGCCTCCATGTGTGCCAGAAAAGGGCATCAGGTCTCATTATAGATGGTTGTGATTATAGATAGATATCTCAATCTCCAGCTTATTGTCACTGTCTGCAAACCCTATATGGATGTCCACCATGACAAAATTTCCTCTGTAAACAACCTCTCCCCTCCTCCATACAACTTTTTTTAGTTTGTCCCATTCCCCACACTTTGAACAGCACCATTGCTCTTCTGAAACTCATATTCTTGTTGCTAAAATCCCTTTCCAGGGAGGAAAGGTAAGAATCTCCTCCTCTGTGGGTTCCAAGGATAAACTGAAGCACAATTCTACCAAAGTTCACGCTGGGGAGCCAGTTTTATTGGGCCTCCTTACAGAGCATAGGTGACTGGGTTCTTTACTGGAATGTGGGTGCTTTCTCCACCCCAAAAAATTGTGCTGGAAAGTCTTTACTCAGCAGGAATAATAGCTTTCTCAAAGTCACATAGATGAGTCCTCCCCCAGTCCACCCTGCCCCTCCCCCAGTCCTCCTAGGCCTATATACTCTATCCTCTTCCCAGTCCACTTTTTCATGGATACTGCAGCTCATCCATGGGGCTCAGGTACAAGCTGCAGACTACATAGCCACTGAAGATATTGGCACCATTCCCCAGGTTCCTCTCTGTGTTCTTTGTCTTCTTCCTGTCTGATAGAGGATTGCTCTGCTGGCTAGTAGAGGTTCCTTGCCAGCCAGATATACTCCTGGGACCACTCCCACCCTAGCTGAGTAGGAGACCGCATCTCTGCTTCTTTCTTTTGAGTCCCCCTGCTGGAGAGGCCTAGGATGCTGGTGTTGATGCAAATTGACAATGAGGCTCTCAGCTCTGCAGAGGGATGGTGAGAGGAGAGCTTAGGAGCCAGAAGTTGGTGTAGGGCTCTGTGTGTGTGTGTGTGTGTGTGTGTGTGTGTGTGTGGTGCATACCCGCATAATGTATGATACTGCAGTCCAGCAGAATGTGAAGCCTCCTTCCATGGAATGATTGAAACTCAGGCATTGTCCTCCCTCCCTCCTTGCCTCCCTCCCTCCCCCTCCCTCCCTCTTTCTCTCCCACTCCCTCTCTCTCTTTCCCTCCCTCTCTCTGCTTCCTTTCCCACTCCTCTCCTCACTTTCTCATTTCCCTCCTCCATCCCCTTCTGACCTGAAAAAGAGGAACCGCATTGAGTCTCCCACTGGGTAAGTTCTCTAACCTTAGAAGTTTCTCTTGGGGTGTAAAGGCTGCTGGAGGGGGTGGTGTCTAGCTTGGAGATGGTATACAGTGGTCCCCCACTGCAGTATCTGCAGAACAGGCATAGTAGTAGGTGACAGTCCTTGGAGACAAGATGTCAGGAATGGAGCTCTGCAGCTCTGGCTCCCATATCTGGAAGAGCCCTTGTGAGGTTTCTAGCTTCCTGCTGACTGCAGAGAAAGAGAGATGCTGGGGTTGAAGCTGCTGCCAGATCTTGCAAATCTTGTGGTCCTCTGCTCTAGTTAATGGGAAAGGGCTGGTTTTCAGTGTCCCAGCCTTGTAGATATGCCTGCAAGGGCAGATGTGTCATGTATGTTTACATGTAAGCATGCGAGAGTTAACAGTGTATATGCCTGGGCTGTGGAAAGTCAGCCTGTGGGGTGTGTGTGTGTCCTGTAATATGGACACAGGGCATGCATGTTGGGGCTTAATATCAAGTATGTACACAGAGTGTGTATTGCACACATGTGTAAGGTTTGTAATGCCTGTATGGGCAGTCATTGTGGGTCAGGCACAATTTTTGGTTTGTATTTTTGTATGTGCATGTGTATACCTGGATGTATGCTCAGCACAGATGCATTGCGTATGTGAAGGCATAGGAGAATTATGTATGCTGTGTGGGTACAGACATGTGCTCTGTGCTACATGTGTATAGTTGTATGTGACATGTATCCTGTGTACAGCTGTGTGAGGGTAGCTTCTCCATGAGCCCTGCCTTGTTCTGATGCTTTGGTCCCTGTCCTGGGGGCTGTAGTAGTGCTGTGGGGCTGTGCATCAGGCTGAGCAGAAGTGGATAAGCACCTAGCCCTGGGTGAGGTGATCTGTTCCCTGTTCCAGGTCATTTTAGGGTTTATGCCATGCTAAGATTTGCATTTGTCTACATGCCAGTCACACTGAAAGGGAACAAGCACTGGGAATGTAGGGCTGAGTATAAAGTGTGATGTATGTATGTGTGTGTCTGTTGAGTATGTTGTATATTGTATACAGTGTGTGTAAGATGTGTTGCATATTATAAGATGTGTATTTGTGTCTGTTATATCTTGTCTTCTATTTGTATGTGATGTGGTATTTGCCTGGAGTTTGCACTGTGTGTCACATGTGGCATGTGTATGTGCACTCCATGCAGAACTACGTTTTGCTCCTGGGTTGGTGCCTGCTCTATCTGGATCCCAGCACAACTCCTTTGTAGTCATCCCCAGAAAGCTGGTGTTCCATTGTTCTCAGAACTCATACCACTTCCTCCACTTAGTCCTCTCTGCCCTCAGCCTCAGACACTTGCATATCTGCAGGCAAATAGAAGACCCAGAGTCCATGAAGCTTAAAGACTGGTACTGTTGCTCTGGGCTTCAGGTTAGGCAGCTGAACCCTCCCACACTCAGCTGTAGGCTGGGACCACATCATGCATTTTGGAACTTTATAGAACTGTAGCAGCAGCAGCAGCTGTATCCCAAGACAATTCTCCACATGGTGGCAGAACCATCCATCTTCCTATGCTGATAGCTGCTGTATTTCCACCTCCAGCCCTGACTCTAGAGCTTTCGTAGATGCTTCCCCATTCTCAGTGGAGGGCCCACAGTGCCTTAATCCCCGCCTGACACCTACATTGACTCCTTTCTTGGTTTTCCCACCTGAGTCCTGTCACAGCATCTCCCCACTCCTTATAGTCTACCCTGATACTATCTAGTGCCCTGTCATGTTATCTCCCGAGAGAGACCCTGATTTGTCCTTCTCCCTTCCCCAGCTACTGCCTCGCTGAGCCCTGATCCCTCTCACCTGTCAACCTGGTCTCCTCACCTCTACCTGTGCTTCTACTGACTTTCTGGGATCTGTGGGTCCCCTGAAACCCTTTCAAAGCTGCATATTAGAGCACATTGCTCCTGTACTTAAAACCATTGGCAACTCCTGCTGCAAACAAACAAACAACAAACCTTGGGCTTGTGAGACTCTGGGGCTGTAACTGGCCTTTTCCCTGCTTCCTCACTCAGCAGTAGTCACATAGTATCTATCCTGTAGCCATACATCCAACACTCTTTTATGCAAAGAAGCTGCTGTTACCACCCATTAGACTGATTGGGAAATGGAGACTTAGAGTTCCACAGTAATATTTTTAAAGGGGGCTGGGAAAAATGGCCCAGTAGTTAAGAGCGCTGACTGTTCTTCCAGAGGACTGAGGTTCAATTCCAAGCACCCATATGACAGCTTAAAATTGTAACTCCAGTCCAGAGGATCTGATGCCCTCTTATAGCTTCCACAGGTATTAGGTACATGGTCATCCCTTCAGGAAAAACACCCATACACATAAAAAAATAAAGGAAAAAATGAAATAATATTAAAGAACTGACACATTGCTTGCCAAGGTCAAGGCCGGGGACATTTCAGGCTCCACTGTTTCTATGCTCCTAACATCCCTGAGAAGCAGGTGTCTGTCCTTCCTGTCCACTGGTGGGTGTGCTGAGGCTTAGGGATGCTTCAGACTCAGCAGCCAAGCCCTCCACTTTCTCAGCAGAGAGCTTGACAGCACATAAGATCTTTTCCACCTTCTATGGTGGGTTATTTCCTGCATCCACACAGGAGGGGAAGCCTCATGGTGGCAACACTCACTGTTATTGATGGAATGGCAGAGTACCATGTACACTCCACGACTTGTGTATCCATGCTATACAGCACCAATCCATGTCTACCCCTCTGAGCTTCCTCTTCCTACCCCTCCAGGCCTGCAGGGCATCACAGAAAGCGCCAGTAAGATGGATGGCCCCATCAATGTCTCACTGGTTCATGGTGATTCCACGCCGAGTCTGCCAGAGTACAAAGTGGTCTCAGTCTTCCTAGTGCTCCTGGTGTGCACCACAGGAATTGTGGGCAATGCCATGGTAGTCCTGGTGGTGCTGACTGCACGAGACATGCACACACCCACCAACTGCTACCTGGTCAGCTTAGCTCTAGCTGACCTAATTGTGCTGGTGGCTGCGGGGCTGCCCAATGTCTCTGACAGTCTGGTGGGGAACTGGATCTATGGATATGCTGGCTGCTTGGGTATCACCTACTTCCAGTATCTAGGCATCAATGTCTCCTCCTGCTCCATCCTGGCATTTACTGTGGAGAGGTAAGTACTCACAGGCTACCCCAGGCCTTTTCCCTCCCAGATTCAAGCAGGGATTCCTGGTAAATTGAGGCTCCACTGAACAGAAGGGGAGCTAAGCCAGTGTGGGGTGCTAGAAGAGCCAGCACGAATGTGGGCATATGCTCTGCTTCTAGATTACTGTAGGGCATCAGGAAAAGTCTGACTTCTTCTGAGCCTGGATTTCCCATCCAGAACACAGGCACTTAGATGGTCTTTTTCATTTCCTCCCACTACTGGACACTGCACCCTGGGTCTTCCTCCCACTAGGCAAGCCATATCTCCAATCTTTAAAAAGAAAAAAAAAGTTAAACTTGAGACAGACTTGTTAAGGTTGACACAACTTGTGATCCTCTTGTCGAAGCCTTTCAAGAAATTGAAATTACAGGCCTGTGCTACTGTGCTCAGCAATGGTGCATCTTTTGAATCTCCTCCAGCTTGAATTGTTGTTTGCTTGCTTGTTTGTTCATTTTATGAAACAGGGTCTCACTATGAATACATACTTGGAATAGATACTTGAACTCTCTTTGTATCTGACTCAAACTCATTGCAATTCTACTGTTTCAGTCTCCTGGGTCCTGGAATTACAAGTGTGTACCACCATGTCTGGCTTAGCTCTGCTTGTAACATCCCAGAAACATGCTGATCCGAAGCCTGAATTTGGGGTCAAATTCAGCTGCACCCATGGCAGGAGTTGAGGCTTTGGCTCAGTAACTTGTTAGGGCTCCCCAGAATCTGGACAGACTCCAGGTGTGTCATATCCAAACACTGAGTCTACTTCTATAATCCCCGCCTGTGCTTGTCTGTGGACAAGTCAGCATGGGGATGTCTCATCTGCACCATGTGATAGTTCCCAGGGGCCTAAGTCTGAGCAATAAGGAGATCTGCCTGTGAGAGCTGTACAGTATAACTCCTGCCTTTGGTGGAGGGTAGCAGAAAACACTTTGACTGCATATGGTGGTCAAAGGCTCCTTTGAGAGGCATGGAGTCACAGGGCAGGACATTTCCAGGCTGCTTTCTGTTCCTCTTGGAAGGCTGGCTTTGTTCTGCCTGCCCTTGAAGTGTCCTCTCCTTAAACCTTTGCATGCAGCCTCTTGCTTCTGCCCTTGCAAAGTACAGCTAGCCACCATTACTCAGACAGGGCTCAGCTTGGTCAGTTGTCTTAGACATAAGAGAAGCAGTCCCATGGCCTCAGGAACCAAAATGCCTTGCCTGTGCTCCACAGGTATATCGCCATTTGCCACCCAATGAAAGCACAGACTGTGTGCACTGTGGCCCGGGCCAAACGGATCATCGCAGGCATTTGGGGGGTCACATCCCTCTATTGCCTACTCTGGTTCTTCTTGGTGGACCTCAACCTCCATGACAATCAGCGCCTGGAATGTGGCTACAAAGTATCCAGAGGCCTGTACCTGCCCATCTACCTGCTTGACTTTGTGATCTTCTTCATTGCACCCTTGCTGGTGACCATGGTGCTCTATGGGTTCATTGGGAAGATCTTATTTCAGAGCCCATTGTCCAAGGAGGCATGGCAAAAGGCAAGACAACCCGATGGGCAGGGCGCACCAGGCAGCTGCTCTAGGTCCAAGAGCTCCATGTCCTCCCGGAAGCAGGTTAGGAGTTCTCCTGAGTGCAAGGGGGGGGGGGTTGCATGTGGGGAGAATCATAAGGAGAGGCACAGATATGCAAAAGAATATAAAACACATAAGGCGTGACTGGCAAAGAATGTAAATGAATCAGTCACTTGATCATTCATTTGTCAGTCCATCCATCCATCCACCCACCCACCCACCCACCCATCCATCCATCCATATATCCATACATCCATACTGCAATGCCTTCCAAGCCCTTACATATGCTATGTGGGTGCTAGGACACAGGGAGAACATGGAAACTCAGTCAGATGCCCTCCTTGAACTACAAGAGTGGAACAAGTAAACACAAGCCTGTCCAAAGGCAGGAAGGAGGCACAGGAACAAATGATGCTGCGGAGCAGGAGTTAGGAGGCCTTGCTAAGAGGTGACAAATGGCTAGAACTCTGCTGTTGGCAAGGGAGGAAGCCAGGCTGTGTAGGGAAGCATTCCAGGAAGAGGAACAACCAGGGTTGAGGCTGAGGTGGCAAGCTGAGCAGAGAAGGGACTTTGAAGGTATGAAATGGGAACAGGGAAGAGAAAGAGGAATGAGTGGCTGAAAATGAGGTTGGGGTGCTCAAAGTCACAGTGGGGAACCCTACCTGGGGCCAGGAACTTTGTAATAGGCGTGTCCTTGGAAATCCAGCATCTCGGGGAGCTTAGGGTGGTGAGTGTCCTGATCCTGTCTTAGTTCCAGTTCTGAGAGATGCCCCAAGTTGCTGGTCTTGGCTTCTAGTGTAAATGGTATCCCTATTGTCAGCTTCTCCCCATGCTTGGTGAGTGTCTCACAGCCATGCTCATGTGCTTTTCCTCTCCACAGGCCACCAGGATGCTGGCAGTGGTCGTGTTCCTTTTCGCAGTGCTGTGGACCCCCTACCGCACACTGGTGTTGCTCAACTCTTTCTTGGCCCAGCCTTTCCTGGACCCCTGGGTCCTGCTGTTCTGCCGCACCTGTGTCTATACTAACAGTGCCATCAACCCTGTCATCTATAGCCTTATGTCCCAGAAGTTCCGGACAGCCTTCCTAAAGCTGTGCTGGTGCAAGGCAGCCTGGCCACAGAAGCATACAGCATGCATCACTGTCAGCTGCTACAGTGCTGCCCAGGAGACCCCACTAGGAGCTGAGAAGATGCAGCTGGGCTCTAATGAGGCCTCAGGTCCCTCAGCAGCTGGGTCCCTGCATTGCCAGCAAGAGCCCCATTTCAGTGTGTGAGGGCTCCTGCCTGACTCCTGACTCCACTCTGTGTTGGCTTGCTTGCTGGTCTGGTTGATAGCTGCTCTGAGCTCTGGTGGATCACCAGGTAAAGGCCAGACAGCTTATTGCTTATGGGTCATCAGAAGTCCCTTTACTATAAAGGAGGACACTGGAATGTTCTCAGCTGGATCCTGTGTGGGTAGCTCTCCACTCTGAAGTGAGGCCAGTGGGAACAGAGAGCTGGAGGCCCAGTCTTTACCCCCTGTATGATCAAAACCTTTCATCTGTTTTCACTCAGTACTTTAAACACATTTTGGAGTTTATTATTGAAGAAATATCCTTCCAGGATTTGATCACTTCTGTCCTTTGGTGAACCCATGTGCACAGGTTTCACATGTGGTCATTAGACAATGAGGGTTACATAGAATGGGTGTCCCAGCCAGGCACACTGGCGCGAAGGGCTCTTCCATGATGTTCACCATTGGCTCAAAATCTCCTTCCAGTGTTCCTTTAAGGTAGGCAGCCCTGTAAGAGAACCCATCAAGCAAGCTCACCCACCATAGATGTTCCCAAAGGACGCCATTTGTCTTCCCAACCAGCACCGAGAAACCACCTCTACCTCCTTGGCCCCAGATGTGTAAGCCTAGCTCTCTGGACCCACTCTGCCAGTTGCTGTCCTACATGCTATATATCTCTAGAGATGTCATAAAAAGCCTCTGCTGGGAACCAACCCCATCACTGCCTATAGGACTAGCAGCTGAGCCTGAGGACAGCAGGCCTCCATGTCCTACACTATAAATGGGGTCAGTGACCCTATCTTGCTCCTGGGACCCCAAAGCTAAAGGACACAGTAGCAAACATGTTTCAACAAGCAAGAGTGGCCACTCTGTGACTGGAGACCTCAGTAAGAAAAGAATTTGGAGGTGTGTGTGTGTGTGTGTGTGTGTGTGTGTGTGTGTGTGTGTGGTTGGACCAGGTGATTGAGCCTACCCACACAGCTTCTGCCTTCCCTGCTGGTTGTGGTCCTAGTGACTCATCCTGCTCAGGGGACCCGGGGTACTCCAAAATAGATGTGGCTTTTTAGGGTCTCTGGTTGCTAAGTCTAGTCTGGTGGGGGGGGAGGGCATTTAGAGCCTGGAGGGTGGGGAGAAAGGGCCTTACCAGGGAAAGGCCAACACAAAGGATGAGGCCCGCCCAGGGCAGCTAGAGCCCTACCTGAGGCTTCTCCATGCTGTGATCTCCAGCCTGAGAGGCACTTTCTCTGGAAGCCCACACACCAGGCTGGCTGCCCTGGGGCTGGACTTGCTCCAGCCTCTTCCTGAGCCAGTTGTTCCTGCCATCCTTTGAGTCTTTTTACCCTGTGACTTAAGACCATGATGCTCTTCCTTACCACATCCATATGAAGCTTAGATGAGCTGCATCCCCAGGCCCAGTGAGATTTCACCGAAAGAATGGATAGCAATTAAGACAGGAGTTATGAGGAGGGTGTTTCCATTGTCCTAAACTATTCCCTCATGAACCCAAGGCAGAGTTCTGAAATTTGAAAACTCCAAGAGCCATTTGACTTGCTGTACATTGCACATGTCTCTCCCTAGAAGTTACCTGCAAAGTCTATCAGGTGTGAGAGTTTCAATGCCAATGACATAGTTTAGAGAGCTGCAGTTCACTGGGGATGGAATCTGTCTGGTTGAATCTACTTCTTTCCTTGTTGTGTGCACCAGAGGCAGTTGAAGCATCCTTACTCATGAAGCTGTAACTATAAAATGCTACAATCCCAGAATCCTGAATTTTAACTTCTTGTCTACTCTTGTCAAACTAATCACTAATGTCACTGTGATTATGTACTTAATGTCACTCCATAGGGAAGGAGCAGAGTTCCCATCATTTCCAAGTATGGGCAGAGCCATTGGCTCTGTAGATGTCTTGTGCTGGGATTAAAGGTATGTGCCACCATTGCCCAGCCCACAGTGCATACACCTTCTCTTTTGTAGAGCATGAGATCAGTGGCCACTCCCACTCTTGGCCTGGAATGCTTTGTTTGGTAAAGTTGTTGGTTGATTGGTGGGTGCTGCCTATGTGTATGGTGTCCTATTATACTGGGTTTTCTCTGTTGAGTGACCTTTGCTCTGGTATGGGATGAAACAGGCCAGCAGCTCCAGGAATGCACAGGTCTTGTAAAGAATGTAGATTTCAGCCACTGTGGATTCCTGCTTCACAAGCAGGCTGTCTAGGATATACTAAACACCCTGGAAAATAAAAACCTTGGAGCAGACCTCAAGGGTCTATCTGGCCCTGAATCAGAGTTTGTTTTATGCTCACAGCAAAAGCTTTGGGGAGTCCCGGGGAGACAGCTGAGTACCCATGAATAGAAAGATTGCAGAGAAGGACACAGGAGACATGAGTCAAAATTAAAAAAATAAGGAAATAGTTTAATTCTTGTTGGTGAGAGAGGAGAAGGTCTTCCATCTTCATAGTTATTTTACTCTAGATAACCTGACATGCTAGTTGCTTCCTATGCTGGATTTCTTTTCTTTTGTTTTTGTTTTTTTATGTTTTCAATATATTATGTATATATGTGGTGGGGGTTGTGGTCATGACTGCAGTGCCTGCAGAGACCAGAAGAGGGTGTTGTATCTCCTGGAGCTGGAGTTATAATGGTTGTGAGCCACCCAGTGTGGGTGCTGGGAGCTGAACTACAGGTCCTCTGAAGTAGTAGCAAGAGCTCTTACCGCTGAGCCATCTCTCCAGACCTCTGTTCCTGTTTTGTGAGTTTTTATTAAGGCAGGGTCTTGCTATGTTGACCCAGGCTGACCTTGAACTCTAGATCTTCCTACCTGCAACTTACAAACTTCGGAGCTGCCCTATAGAAGCATGATCAAAAGCAGGGGTTCTTTCTCACAGAGTCTGGCAAGAGGAGCTCGTGAGTAGGACAGGGAGGGGCAGATGGTGAGGGCTGGAGTCAAGCACAGGAAATATACATATACAAAGCTCAGGATGCCCAACCAGGTGGCCACCTGTGATCCAGTTTGCTGTCTCTGGGGGATGGCGACAAGAAGCCCAGTGCAGCTTGTGGAACATTGTTGGGACAGTGCAGGGAAGATGTGAGATGTGTTGTGCCCAAATTCTGAACCCCCAAATCACCAAGAGATCCGTTCCAATGCAAAAACAAAGAGTCTTTTACTATTTAACAAGTTAACTCAGGTTTTCCATCCCTCCAACATGGTGGGCAGAGGCAAGAAGGACCTGAAGAGGCCACAAGGTGGGGTAGGTGGAAATGATTTATTGGGAGGAGTAAGGGGAAGTTTCTAGGGATAGGAAAGAGTCTCGGGATTGGTATGCTTCTGGGCTTGGGCAACTGTCCTGTGTTGATTGGTCAACTGGTTGTTATGGCCTATAGGCCCTCCTAGGGCAGTTGCTATGCTCTGCACATCACTCACACAACTTTTACTATGAAGCATATCTAGAGCCTGCCAGCTAATTTCTGATTGGTTCCTTGCCATGTGAAGGGTATCTGACCTCCCAGTGACTGGGGCAGGTCTGGCAAGGTCAGTAGGCTGGAAACTCAGCACATTTTGCCAAGTCAGAGACCCACATCCTGTTGGGTCTTTTCTGAAGCCTGTCATGGCTGCTGAAGCAGGGGGCTGGGTGAGGGTCTGGTCACTTCAGATGACAGCTAAAGGCAGTCCAGGAAGGATGCCCCAGGATGAAGCCCAGGGTAGAGGCTCACAGAGGAGCATACAACAGCCCTGTACCAACTACTGAGAACAAAAGCAGGGGATGTTGTCTGGTCTGACTTCCCTAGTACCAACTAGAACGGAAGATAGAAACAGCTGCTGTTCTGGGAAGGGGGTGATTTGATTTGGGAGAAGGCAGGGAAGGAAGAAAAGTGAATAAAAGGTACAATATGGAGACAGAAACATCTGACTTGGTTCCACTGGGGACCTTATGAACAGCTGTGAAGTTTGTCCTCTGCATCCTCCCTCCCAAGGACAGATGGCATTTGCCATGACTCCCATCCTCACTAGTTGATGGCTGCCCAGGGTATCAAACCTCTATTCTTGTGACCTCCATCCTTTTGAGAAGAACCATGTGACTTAAGTGCAGGGCTCCCACACATAGCAATGGGTTGGAGTGTGGTGGGGCACACAGAGAATCCACTACAGACAAGGCATCCCTGAGACCCTCACAGCACACTGTCTTTGATCTTGAGTGCAAGAGATAAGGAAGTAAGTGGACAAGACACCACGTTCAGAACAGAGACTGTGCCTGGAGGTGCCGCTGGGATGATGGCTGCTCAGGGAGTGAGGCACTTAATGGGAGTCCCCTAAGTAGCTTGTGGGGAACATGGGTACATGAGGAATAGAGGCTCAGCTCCCCTATATGGAGTATAGAAATCTGGGCGCTCACATGTCAGACCCACTAGGAGACACACTGCCTCAAAGAGTGGCAGATCAAAGCTCCTATTTCTTTACTGGGAAACCCAGGCCTTAGGAAGGGAGGGAACTTGCCTGTCTCTTAGCAATGCTGTCCAGGCCGGGCATTGATGGTGTATGCCTTTGATCCTAGCACTCAGGAGGCAGAGGCAGGCAGATCTCTGTGAGTTTGAGACCAGTCTGATCTTCAAAGAGAGTTCCAGAACAGTCTCCAAGAAAGAAACCCTGTCTCAAAAAACAAAAAATAAACAAAAGCAATGCTGTCCTGGTTCCCATTGTTTGATACTTGCAAGAGTGACCGTCCATCATAGCACAGAGTCAAGTTGGAACAGCATCTACACAGCACTGTGGCAGGTTTTCTAACTCCTGAAAGTGAACAGGGTTCCTGGTCTCTCTAGGTGGTTGAGGGAAAGATCCCACATCCTGTCCTGGCCCTGAAGGTGCCCTTGACCCAGGATACAAAGGTCAAGGAGAGAGGAGCCCAAGGTTTCAGCTGCAGGATACCATGCAGTACATTTCTAGTTCAAGTGAAAACTGGAAGTCAGACTGAGTCCAAGTCACTCGAGCTGTCCTGCTGACTGGATTCAACACTGAAAAAGCCACTCAGGGAGAGACAGTGACCAGAGGACTCACTTCAAAACAATAAGGAGGGGATGAGAAGAGGTGGGAGGGAGGGAGATGGACCAGGGATCCTCCTGTAGGTCAAGGGATCAGGAGGATGTGAGGAGTGGCTGGGGGAGGGAGCCCTGCGGGGTGGAGGAGGGGAGTTTTGTTACTGAAGAGCCACAGGCCTGGCAAGTAAGCTCCCTCGGTCTTCACTGCGTTCATACCAACTGCTCAAGGCACCAGCTGACTGACTCCCCTAGACATGGCTTTCATGTCTTTTTTTTCTCAAGACCTCACTAAAGTTCTCTCACACAGTCCAGATAAAGGACAAAAGAAACCACTTCCTGCTTCCCACTGGGTGTTTGGTCCCCACCTGCATCCAGCTGAGGCTTGAGTTTGTAGACTCTA